TGAGGTACTTGCTCCATCTAGTGGCTGCTTTGAGAACAACATTATACAATCTGATTTTCGTACATGTTCAGTTGAATATAAAATAATGAAAATGATATAGTGCATATAGTTGTAACCTTCCTAGAGTGTCCACCACCTACTTATCTCCATGAAGATGGCATTAAAGGTATAACATATGTATTGAATAAGTACATGATGTAAAATATACATTTCTATATCATGCCCTTCCCATATCAACACACCAGCAGAACTGTCAATCCCCTCCACCTCTCCATCTTCCACTATTTCCCAGCATCAGCCTAGACTTTTAGAGTAATGTTCCCTCTCTACATCATCCTCTTCCTCTGGTAAAATAGTACATTAATTCATGAGTAAAATAAGACTTTATAATCTGTATAACATTTGTCTTGAAACATTCAGAAACTGTGAGCTGTCTCAGGCTCTCAGTCGTTGAAGAACGCTGTGTCTGACTGATCGCTTGTGGGTCTTGGATACTGCCTTCAGCAAAATGACAGTGGCTTTACTGAGGAAGTGGCAAATGAATACAACTTGATTTATGAAGAGACTGATGCTGTCACATTACATTTACTATACACCTGCACATAATGCAGTTGTAAAAATATGAATCTATGCATTTAATTGCCAAGTAAAGTAAAATATTCTGTGTGCTTTTACAAGGATTTTGTAGGTTTGAGTTTGACACTTTACCAGGTGTATGCCACTACTTCTTTCTGACACACACAAAAATAGTTTCAGAATTAAAAACAAAATAGTTTTTCAAAAGAACAAAAACTTGAATTCCTTTGGGAAAGAAATATTTATTAAAAAAAAAATTGCTGTTGGTAAGGGGTGGATTTTTTCCTTTTCACTCAGGTATGTAATAAAATCACACAATATTTTGCCCATGAGTATCCGCAGGGGGGCAAATAATAGCAGCCCAGGCTGTACAAACAAGCATTTACAGTCTAAGTCCATCCCATTTTTGGAAAAATTGCAGTAAATTGCAAATGCATTTGTGCCACTACAAGCCATACATACAACATCAATTATGCAAATGTTGCCTGATGTGGCCCGATGTTATCATATTTTAACATATTTTTTCTTAAGTCATTACAACAGTTTTGCTGCATGGCCATTATGCTCCTGCTGTAGACTGCAGCAGATGGAGCCTGGATTTATGCTCGCTAACCTTTTTATCAATGCCATAAACAAGGTGAAAGAAACTTCATCTTGCCTGCTTCATTTGAGAATAATCAGTTCAGTCTGGCCTGTGTCAGCTTCTAAATGGCCCTTTGAAGATGGCTGGCTCTCCACATTAGCTTGTTTTAATGTGAGTGAATTGGAATAGGCTCCATCATAAAGTGCACATATGGAGCTGAAACTGGTATAGTGTGTTTTATGGTCTGCAGTGGGTTTAAGCATAATTGATTTTATCCGTAAGTGCTGCTCATGCTGTGCAGAGGTAGTAATGGAGGTCTAATAGTTATAAAAACTCAAGTATAAATATCACTTTGCATTGTGTAACTTTTCTGGCAAAGGGTCCATCAAGTGCTTTTCTCCATGATGATGTTATTGTCTGAAATGTTTCACAGTATGGTGTTCAGCCTTTCTATCTTCAAGGAGACCAAACCAGACCAGATTACAGGTCAGATCTGTGAAGAGGCAACCCTGCTCACAGTCAGAATGCCGGTTTCTTTGAGCTGCAAAACCACCTGTAATTGAATACATGTAAGGTAGAGAGCTGTTTAATGCTGTACTGTGACACATTCCAGGCAGAGCAGTGACATAAAGCAGGTGACGAACACTCCACCAAGAAGTTACACAATGCAACTTCAAATAAATGTATTAAAGTCATTTTAAACCAATATTGTTAAATGGAAGAAGGCACATGAATATCCTCCAACATGTGCATAAACATAATGCTATCTTCTATCACGCGCAGTCTCTGTTCTTAATGTCAGTTTTAAAGAGCAGTAATGATTCAGACTATTATAAGATTTAACCGTCTCGCCGGATGTTTCAGAGGAATAGAGGAGGTCATGCATTTTACATCTGCTAAGAACAAACCAGAGAGCAGGAGACAGGGGAATGCAGAGAAATGTCTACTCATATATTAAGCACAAGGCTGTTCAGATGGAGCACTGTTCAGATGGAGAGACATGAATTTGAGAACATTTCATTCAAACATATGGCTTTGGAGGATGTTGTTATATTACCAGATGAAATAGGAGTCTCTCAGCAAAGTGCACTTCCTCCAGCTCCTGCCAAACCTTTATGTGTGGGAGGTTGTGACACATTTACAGAAAGTTTAGTCATAGCCACCCCTCATGTAAACACAAATACGTTTTTATTGGTTAAAAACATTTGCTTACTTGAACAATTGAAAATAACTATAAAGAGAGAGAGATATGTCAGGATATTTCACTTTTACAAGGTCATCGAGTAAGTGCCTAGTATCTAGCACACAATGCAATATTTGGACAGGTTTGGGGAAAAAAAAACAAAAAAACAAAAAACCCAACAACCTTCATGAAAATGCCTCAAAATAGCCCCAATTCACCCCATGTTCTCAAAATTGTTGAATCACACAATCCTCCCACATCATCCTGTTTTATTTGCCACACTTCACCAAAAACAAAAATAGCAGCACTGAACACGTTTACCACTGACAAAAAAATCATTACACAATGTGTGATTTTTTTTTGTCTCTAAGAATAACAATGATTTTTAAACAAGAAACCAGAGGCATGCTGTTTCTCTCTTTTTCTCTCTGTATCTACATACCTATCTATTTCTTTTTCTCTCTGTCTCTCTTGTGCTTTCTTTCTCTCCATCTTTCAGTCTCTCTCTCTCACACTCTTTCTCTTCTATCTATGTATCTATCTATCTACCCATCTATTCCTTTCTCTTTCTCTCTGTCTCTTTTTCTCTCTATCACTGTCTCTCTCACACACTTTTTCTCTGTCTCCCTCTCTTTATTTACCTACCTCTCTCTCTCTCTATCTATTCCTTTCTCTTTCTCTCTGTCTCTCTCTCTCTTTATCTACCTACCTATTTCTTTCTCTCTCTCTCTCTCTCTCTATCTACCCATCTATTTCTTTGTCTTTCTCTCTCTCTCTTTATCTACCTTCCTCTCTCTCTCTATCTATCTATATATCTACCCATCTATTCCTTTGTCTTTCTCTGTCTCTCTCTCTCTTTATCTACCTTCCTCTCTCTCTCTATCTATCTATATATCTACCCATCTATTCCATTGTCTTTCTCTGTCTCTCTCTCTTTATCTACCTCTCTCTGTCTATCTATCTGTCTATCACCCAGTCTCTCTCTATGTATCAACTTATTTCTCTCTCTCTCTTTCACTCTTTCTTTCTCTCTATCACATTATCTCTCTATCTCTCTCTCTCTATCTCGCTCACACACACTCTTTCTCTGTATCTACCTACCTACCTATCTCTTTCTTTCTATCCATCTATCACACTATCAGTCTTCCTCTCTCTCTCCTCTCTGTATCTACCACGCTATCTGTCTCTCTCTCTCACACACACACACTCGTTCTCTCTCTCTCTGTATATATAGCTACCTACCTACCTATCTATCTTTCTCACTCTGTAGCTCTCTGTCTAACTATCTGTCTATATAACTATCTCTCTCTCTTTGTACAGTGCAGCTGAGGTGCTGTTTTATTTTGCAGGAGCGTCTGAGTGCTCTGGAGAGATGGAGAATAACAGCTGACTCACTCTCTTGTAGCTTATTGATCCTCAGCCCTTCACAGACACCGTATTCTAATATTGTGCTGCTCATGGAACAAAATGCTGTAAAATTAGCCCATGTTACAATGTTATGAATTTAGCAAGACAGTTAATTCAATTCAATTCATCTTTATTTTGAACTCATTGTCCATTTTTAAAACAGTGACAATACAAAACAATAAACTTTTATGTTTTTAAAAGACAACCATACCAGTGTCTCCACATATTGGACTGATATCTTATTGCACTGAATCTCAAATCTGTGAGTGACATTATTATTTCATTGTCTGATTTGTTCACCCAGTGTTTTTCTCTAAACAGTTCTGACCAAATCAAACAAATGTTCTCTTCTACATATTTCTATTTTCTGCTGCCAGTGAATGAGCTAGACCTTCTGTGATTCACAAACTGAACATATCGATTAGTTTCATACCAGCCAACGGTGGTGGGTGGGTAATGGTCTCATGTCTCACCAAAATATCTCCCAGCTCTCTCTCTCTCTGTCGTTTAAAACTTCTGACTTGACTAATTATAAAAGATAAACAAAGGTCACAAAGGTGCACAGTCTAACTTTTTTGGTAGAGGGTCTCCAGAGATGTTTTACGTTGTCTGGAATGTTCCACATGTCATGGAATCTACATCTGGTAAATTATTCCTTTCCTCAATTATTATTCCTACTGCAAAATGGAAAAAAGAGATTATTTTGAGCAGTCTTGCCTCTCCACAGATCTGATCTTTTAACCTTTTAACTTGGCGTGATAGTGTTGTTTGCTGGATAGGTCTAATGCCACACTGTGTCACATTCTACAAGCAGATGGCCTCCAAAAGAAAATTTACGCGTGCACCTTTAAGCCTCAATTTTGCTCCAACCACACCAAATTATAACAAAACAAAGCTATTTACTTCACTTTCGCCTACTGAAGACTTAGATGATTTCCACGAGGCCTTATCCTATTGGGAGAGAGGAAAAAAATCCAATAAAAAATCAAGTCAACACAGTCAAACTCACCAGATTCCAGTGCGAAACGCAGCGGATGTTAGTTAATGTTTTCACAATAAATCAATATCTCTGACACAAATTAATAATTCACCAGCCACAGCGATATCATATTTCAATAGAAACAAATGCCACTGATTCAATATTTACACAGATTTTTATGACAGTTTTCGAGCACGTCCACACGCTAAATTCTGAAATCACGCAGCGGAAGTGCAGGACGCGCGGTGGGTGTGCGCGGAGTTGCAGGCTGTTTTCGCTTTTACCTTGTTAACGTGACACAGACGCACAGAGAGGAGGCTGGTTGGAGCAAGTTTTTCTCCCCTACCTTGGCTCACCTCACCCTTCTCTCCGCCATGGAGGCACGGACTTTCTACCGCGAGGAGATCAACAACACGACGTGGGAAGTCACCGAGAAGTACACCCGTCTCAAGCAGATCGGCACCGGAGCGTACGGTTCCGTCTGGTAAGTGTTGGAGAGGGGCAAAGCAAGCACGGTGTGGACAAGTCTGCACTCGGGACAACTATAATAGACCCGATTTAACCCAGTTACATTGCCCAAATACCGCGTAATTACATAATATAGTCACAACATAGACATAAACACATTGTCACCACTTTTGCCACCATCAAAGCCTGCTCAATGGTAAGTTGCACCTGACACCATTACATCATAGGTTTGATACAGTCAAGATCGGAAATCAAGCCGTGCCATTCTTATATCCGCTGGTACTTGTTTATGGAACATGGCCACTGTGAGCTCTTTTCATTATAAGTACAATACGCACGCTTGCACAGGGAAACCCCCAAGACTTGCACTGTGCATGTCAAGGGACTAGCAGAAAGGATAATACAGTTAAGAACCAATAGCTGCTTTGTCTTCAAGAAAAAAAATAATGAATCTATGAGCCAATGCACGCAAAACCTTAATAACGTACACTGTAAGAGAAAGGGGCTGTTATTGCGAAATACAGCTGAGCACACACTTGGAAAAATGAGTATGCCAGGACAGGGAATATTTTTTACTATCTAATTAATCTTCATTTAATATTTTTCAGTTATATAATTACTGTTTTCTGCTTTTCTCATTATCTGATGGTAATAAGGCTACACGATGTAAACATAATACTTGCCTTTCTATCTGAGATCACACATGACAAGTCTAAATAAAGAAAATGATAACTGTGGTTGACCATTGTAATACATAGGCTATGTAAGTAATACATAGGGTATGTAAGTATGACCTTCAGCTAAATAAGAAGCTGATGCCAACAATGTAATATTTTAGTGATCTACCTGGCAGCTTGCAGTCCAGTGTAGACTAATTTTCAAGTGTTGATTAAGATCTTTTTTGGCTGTGTGTCATAGAGTCTGACCCTCCTTGAGGTCACCCCCAGCCTCCGCATGTCCAGCAGAACTGTCAGTTAATCACAGGCCACAAAGTAACACATGGGCAAAGGCAACAGACAGATTTTAGATTTAGAAATCAAAACTAGATTCTTGAATTTGTGGTTTCTACTTAGCCTTGTACATGTGGACAAAGTGTAATATGAAGTTTATAATAGACTGGACTGCAGTATCAGTATGTCAGCCATACTTTTTGGGGCAATTTGACCATGGCCTGGTTTAGTGGCCTTATCATCACAGAGCCATTTTATATAAATATTATGGCAGCTGGTAAGTACTGTTTCTCTTTTACCTCTCTCTGCCTTTTTGCCCACTCAGTAGGAAGATTCTAAGCCAGTCTTAGCCACTTCTATATTTAGAACAACTGAAGCACTGTTAGAAATGGAGATGCACTTTAGATGCTCATTATAAAATAGATTGTTTAACATTGTCCTTCCACCTTTTTAGGTTTAAGTAGTATTGTGTAGGTTTAAGTTTTGTGCAGCACAGTGACCTATAGGGGTGGCAGTGTGTATTAAGGACGTCATCATGTTACCTCAGTGATGTGACTCTAACTGGCCTACTTATAAAACATAGCCTTAGGGATATGACAGATTGGTCACTGATAATCTGTGTATCATTCGTTCATTAGTTTTTCAAAATAAAACCAAAAATAACAAAAAAAAAACAACTACTTCATTATTTGTCTCCAAAACCGAAGTGAAAAAATAGATAATGGCTGTTTCCTGTTTCATCCAGTTTTGACCCTTAAGCAAGCTGTGTAAACCGGAAATGAACCTTTACTAGGAGCATAGACACAAACATATACTGTATGTCTATGACTAGGAGGGTGCACAAAACAAACCGAATGGCCGCAGGACTTGAGGATCATTATTATATGATTAAACAGCTTTTTGAGGATGGAAAAACACTTGCTGAGATATCTAATGCGCTGCAGCAGATAGGTACTCAGAGATCCTCGGAAATGTTGGTGAGAAGATTCTGTGTTCAACACCAACTCAGGCGTAAAAGACATGTATATGGAGTAAGAAAGCTTTCAGAAATATTCATGTGCATAGGATAGAAATCTGTGCATATTTGTAGTTGAGCATAACAGGACAACGAGTTCAGTCATTCCTAAAATGTATTGTATATATTTTATTGATCAGAATATTAATTGAAAAGTTACGACATCAAGAATTACAAAGAATCACAAAATGAAAATGTACGATTATGCTTTCTTCTGTACGAATACGAATTCACAGACGCAAATCGACTGTCAAAAATATGTCCTCACCCCACAGGCATTATTTATTGAGCAAAAGAAACATCGATTGAGATGCCGGACTTTTGCACAGCATACGGACTAAACCAGGACTGAACCAGGACTGAATTAGGACTAAAACAGGACTGAACTAGGACTGAATTAGGACTAAAACAGGACTGAACTAGGACTTGAACAGGACTGAACCAGGAGGACAAAACCAGGACCAAACTAGGACTAAACCAGGAATAAACCAGAACTGAACCAGGACTGAGTGTCCGGACTGGAGGTGCACCCGCGTATACCAGGTGACTGGAGGCAAAAAGACCGGCACTGAAAACTGAAAAAACAAATCATTATCCGTTTTTTTCATTTTGGTTTTGGAGACAAATAATGAAGAAAATAATAGTTTTTTTTCTTTTTCTTATTTTTGGTTTTATTTTGAAAAACAAATGAATGAATGAAACACAGATTCCCAAACCACATGCATTTGAACTTTTGATTAAAAAGAAACAAGCTAACATTAACAGTTGGAGGCGACTGAATTTGGGAAAAATTTGTAATAATGATTTATTTTGACAAGCATTTATGTTTTTAATTAAAGGATTTTATTCAAAGTTCACATTTTAGTACAGAGTTCCACACACATTGACAACAAAACTGAAATATGAAGCTCATACAAGAATCACATGCATTTCAGAACATATTTAAAGGGTTCAACTACACCTACAGGCTTTGCAGGTTTATTTTGTTGCTTGTGGAGGCAATCATTGTACTTCATAACTGCAGATTTTGCTATTTCCTAATTGCGTCCATTCAAACTGAAATTTTGATTCTGTTGTCATTTCATCTTAAGGCTTAGACTGAATCTAGATCTTGATAAAATTTTAATCAGTTGCACAGCTCCAGGCCTATGGGTACAGTATTGCTTAGGAGTTCAATGCTAACAAGAGCATCAGTAGACAATAGTAAATAAATTCTAGTTAATTTGGTAATCGTTGCAAGAGGATTAAAGGGACGCTGCTGAGCTGAATGTTAATGTAGGTGTTTATGGATGTGGCTCCAAATAGCAGGCCTTTCCTCCCACTGTGTAGCCCAAGACAGCAGTGGTGCACAGGGCAAGTTTACAGAGTCCAATATTAACAACCTTCAGAGATTGCATAACACAGCCATTTATTCAGATTTTAAAGCAAATGTAATACACTTTGATAATTTAATGTGTGAATCAGTGCAAGCCGGACCTAATTTTTATCAGTGAGATAGCAAATTAGGTTCGGAATAGGAGAACCTTGATTTTTCCGGGGATGTTTCTTTCATCATTTCAGGGGTATAGTGAATAGGCTATGACGCATCTCTACTTCCAAGCTCATTGACTGTGTTAAGGCCAGGACCTGTACCAACAGGATAAGAAAGTGTTCTGGGAAATAGCTCTGAAATTAAAACTTAGAAGATGACTGGTCTAAAACATTGTGAAAGGTCCTGTGTTACCCAAAATCGATTATTGTGAGCATGTTATAATGTTGTTACCTCATCAAAAACAGACCCGGAGTGGTGTTTTGTTTCATTCACACGTTTGAGTAACTTTATTATTACTCTGTCTACGTCTCCAAAGCTCAGAATGCTCTGTTCCAACTTGTGATATCATGTTGTGGTGGTTTTTAAGTTAATAAACACCTTTTACCTTTTGCTGAGTAGAGACTGGCAGCTCAAGGGTGAAAATTATCCAAATGATTCTAGTGAAGGTGTATATGGAGTTTAAAAACAGTGGAGTACTTCCTGTATTACTACATGACATCACAAAGTGGATGAGAGAGTGTTTTCTGTTTGAGAGAAGAACTCAGCCGAAATATGCAGGGTTTGTGTGTGAATGAAACAAAACACAACTCCGGTATGTTTGTGATGAGGAAACAACAGTCTAACAGAGATCAGAAAATAGATTAATTTTGGCCCTTTAAACTTCAAATAGAGTTGGACAGTATGACAATAAAATCACTTTTATTTTTCCTCATCAGTGTTAATTTTCAATCTTATTTTTTCTTTTGGAAAACAGAATCAAAATGACTTGCAGTATTAATTTCTTTAACATAAACTTTTCAGACTCTTATTCATTAGCAATTTAACACAAAATAGCATTTTTTTAAATCCAAAGTCTGAACTTTGCTCCAAACCACATGCTTCTACTGACAGAGCATTGACTGTGGACCTCTCTGTTAAAAAGACCCAAGCTGATCATTGACTATTAGACGTGACTGAATCTCATCTTGATTAAAATGTGATTAATTGCACAAACCTACTTTGAATGTACTTGGTAAAATATTTATTAAAGGATGCAACAATGATGTCTGTATGATGTCTATTTTTATTAGACATCAAGGTTGTAAGTGCTCTGAAGTACCACAAACAGCCATGACACATGTTGAAGTGACATAAAAAGGTCATGAAAAGTAAATATCCTGAAGAAGTATATGAAATACAAATAGGCCACTGCTCAAGGCTTGTATGCATGTCTATATGGTTTGAGCTTTAGCTGTATGAGATGGTTTGTGGCTTTTCTTGTTAAAATTGTTTTATGGCTAAGTTTCATGTCATGCTTACAGTTAATTGTATTATACCCTAACCAACTTTTTGTTAACATTTTTTTTGGCCCATGGCTTCGTTTTACAGGACTCAAGTGTGAAACGGGAGGGAAGAGTGAGGAAAAACATTAAGTAAACTACCATGTCCAATACATTGACTCAATTATGTCTAATTGTCAATGATAATACAATCTTTTTAATCAAAAGCCATTCCTTTATCAGCAAAGGCATGTGGTTTAGAGCAGAGTTCAGACATTTTTTGTGTTAAATGACAATTAATTTCTGTATTTATTATTTTTGTTTGTTTTTAAGTTGACAAGCATATCACCCATAACTTATGTCCACATTCCAACAGCATAATTTACTGAAACCAAAAGTGACACCTTCCTTGTTCCTGTCCACAGCTCGGCTATTAACGAGAAGACAAAAGAGAAAGTGGCCATCAAGAAGCTGCACAGGCCCTTCCAGTCTGAGATCTTTGCGAAGAGAGCTTACCGTGAACTGCGACTGCTCAAACACATGAAGCATGAGAATGTGAGTCATAGTGACACTCGGACAGGAGGTCTATCTTCCACCACAGACCACACCAGCACTGTATATTCACCCACACAAATCTGCAGCATGCATAGTACTTTCTCTACTCAAGTCTACCTTCTCTTCATTCTTACCAGGTGATAGGACTCCTAGATGTGTTCACGGCTGCCACAAGCCTCGACGAATTCCAGGATTTGTAAGTATTAATCACAGTTATAAAGAATCGCCTCGGGAATAGGGCGGAGTAAAGTTTATTAACATGTAATGTAATTTTTAGCTGCACAGGTAACAGCGCTGTTGTAAAAAAGCACAGCAAAAGTCAGTGTGCACTCTGTGACAGTTACATTTTATGTCATGTTGAAATAGATAATGGTTTAACTGGGCTGAATAAAAGTGTAGTATTGCATGTACTGTCAAAGTGTAGTATTCTCTGTTATGGGTGATGCACCGATAAAGACAATATAAACCTAGGGATGTCACAGTATCATATTTTAATGTTACGATAATTGTGAGAATAAACACGAAAAAGAAAAAAAAAACACACACATGATTCCAGGATTATTCACAGTGAAATCCTGAATTTTCTTTCAGTTATCTGATGTTACAATATGTGATGAAGTTAATTTAAAATGAAATAAACAGCCAGATGAAAAGCACTTTCCATTAATTGTATTTTTTGAGTAGATCTTGTACGATTATATTATGACCTTTTATAACCTTATAGTCATGACATCCCTATATGTGACTGAAGCAGCGCTTTAAAATAACTAACATCTACTATGAAAGCAATGTTAGTTTCACAAAGCCATTTAAGTATTATTGACTCCTCTGAAGCAGTTTGAGGAAGTGTTCAGCTCCTGTGACTACAAACTGGTAATAACAGCACCTGCTCTGTGGTAAAGGAAGTTATACAGTTTTACCAAAATGTCAGGTGTTATAATGCATTGCTGAACATGATGGTATGATGATTTTATTTAATTTTTTTGTTTTTCATTTGTCTTCTAAACGTGATTTAATTTCAGTCTGTCCGTTTTTTCTAAGTCTTTAAGATTTTCTGGTCAGTTCCCCTAAGCTGCAATTTTTCTGCTATTTTGTGACAATTGATACAAGTAATAATGTAATGTCATAAACTTTTCTTTTTCTTCTTGTTCTTGTTCTTGTTGTTGTTCTTCTTCTGCTTCTTCTTCTTCTTATTATTATTATTAGAACTTATTAGATTGTAGATTGAAAGTCCTATATTACACAATATTGATTCTTGTGAGCATTAAGCCATGGTAGAATGCTGTTACCTGTTACCTTACCTCATTATTATTTATGCACGCTTGAGTAATCGTGCATTATTAGTCTCCAAAGCTCAACGGGCTCTGTTCCACCTTGTGATGACATGTAGTGGTAGTTTTCAAAGTTAACAGCTACCTTTTACCTTTAGTTCAGTAGCTATGGGCAATTCCAGGCCTGAAATGATCCCAGTGATTCTACTGAAGCTGTATGGAGTTTAAAAATACAATTCAGAAGTTCCTGTATTACCACATGACATCACAAGTTGGAAGATAGTGTTTTCACTTAAGGAGAGAAGAACTGAGTTGCAGGGTTTGTGTGTTAAACATGTGCGAATGAAACAAAATACAACTCCAGGTATGTTTTGGTGCGGAAATAAATAACATTATAACATAGATCAGAAAATAACGCAATATGGGCCTTTGATAGTGAAAATTAGAACATACAGTATTTATTTTATTGTCCAATTCCACTAATGTATACAAACCATAATGCTCACAGTTGAGAGAAGTACGCTATGTCTATGGTCATAGTCATCATCTGTAAAATCAATTTTGGATTATTTGGACATGTTGTAAGTTTTACTGCTAACACCTCTGTAAATGTGAATGCTCTAAGCCATAGTTAAATCATTTCTTGAGAACTGCAAGCTGGTGCTTGTGCTAAGCCTGAGGAGTAGTAGCTGATAAGACCTTTCAGTGGATCAGTGTCCCCTATAGGACATAGAAGGAGGGCATCGCTTTGTACATATTCCCATTCAAGTAATCCACTTGACACTCTACATTGTGTGAGTGGTATAGTGGGTCTTGTATATTTTTAGTTAAACCTTCAATTTCTTTCCAGTGATAAATGTGTTAACAGCAATACAAGGGACAATTGCGTTAAGGTATAGGAGCTATTAGAATATAAAGGAAGAGAATATTGATGAATGTAAGGTCAGTACAGCAGAAGAAACACAGATCAGATTTCACTGCAGTCAGCTACTGAGAAAGTTTAACAAGGCTGGGAAAGGCTTTAGCTGGGAGGAGCAAAGAGGAATAATACTATTTAAAGGGCCCATATTATGCTATATTCTGATCTGTGTTATGATGTTTCCTCATCAAACACATACCCAGAATTTTGTTTTGTTTTTATTCACACATATTTGACACATAAACCCTGCATATTTAGACTGAGTTCTTCTCTCAAACAGAAAGGACTCTGTTCCACCTTGTGATGTGGTAATACAGAAAGTGCTCCATTGTGTTTTAAAACTCCATAAATCTTCACTAGAATCACTTGGATAATTTCAGCCCTGGAATTGCTGATCTCTGCTGAATAAAAGGTAAAAGGTACATTAACTTGACCTAACTACCCCTTCATGACTTCCATCACAAGGTGGAACAGGGCATTTTGAGCTTTGGACAGACAATAGTGCATGCATTATTGTGCTACATACAAAACACAACTCTGGGTATGTTTTGAGGATGTAGCAACATTATAACATGGCTTAAAGTTCACAAGAGTCAATTTAGCATAATATAGAACCTTTAGCACCAGTGACTCTGTTGTATATTGTCTGAGCACAAAGTTTACAGCAGACTTTATGCTACAAAATCAAACCAAATATCAAGCTGTTTCTGTATTGTTGTTGAGTTAATCCTCTGTTTTTGCAGCTACCTGGTGATGCCTTACATGTTCACAGACCTGTCTAAAGTACGAGGCCATCTTTCTGAAGACAAGGTCCAGTTTTTGGTCTACCAGATGCTCTGTGGACTAAGGGTAATCTGCAAATGTCATACATACTTAATATACATAGTACAAACATAATAAGTAATAATAATTAATAAGATGCTTATTGTGGTTTAACATAAATGCATCAAAATGGTAATATGGGTATACTTATATGTATTTAATACTTTAAAGCTCTCCTAGAGTCTAAGCTACTTCATGGGTTAGAAATGTTAGTACGTATTTCAGTTTGTTGATACAGGATGTGGTCTTGGTGTTGTTTTTACAGGTTAGGGTAATGGGGTTAGGGATATAGGTTATTCTCATTAGACATTACAGAGCAGTATGTTTCCAGTCACACTGAGTCCTCTGCACAACTCATACAGGATTATCATGTGTTTATACTGTAGCAGAGCTGACAGACACACTGACACACAATTGATTTGTGCTCAGATTGATTCACTATTTATAGTGACTCATTCACAGACCGACTTTTGTTTTGTTCATAAAGTTCCATGTTATGTTTGGAATGGGCAGATGCACTGATGGTTTCTTGTTCTGTCTTTGCTTTTACTTTCAGTATATTCATAAGGCTGGGATCATCCACAGGGTGAGTGTAACTCTTTATCTTGCAAAGTTGTACAATGCTGTTGTTCTATGCTAGCTTTCACAATCTGTACAAGAGTCTTGACCCAATTTGTCCTGATTTCTGAGCCAAATAGGCCCTGCCCGGACAGGTAGGATGAGTTCACTCCGCTCTGATGTGGGAATGCGTGTTGAGAGATGTTAGGCCACACCTCACAACTCCAACACATTTATAAGCAATATAACCAAAATAATCTGTTCTTGTGAAAGATACCAGGTTATATTGTCTAATACAGCACATAGCTAAGATGTACTGATTCTTTACAGAGTTTTACTGTTCAAATGAGCTGAAAGTGAACGTTGTCAAGTATAGCCCAGACCATGACCACAGCAGGATCAGCTGAACTTGGCTGAAATGTACAGTATTTAGCCTCAATTCACACAACAAGATTCTACCAGGGATGAAATTAAAACAAACTAAAACTACTTTACATGGTTAAAAAAATACTAAAAGAAATTGGTAAGTAATTTTCAGCAATGAACTACAGTATTTTCTATCCTTGGTGTCATTAAATAGATTAATTAGAAATTGGTCAATGAAAATGTCACTTAATTAGAGCAAAAGGACTTATAATATTGCAAATGCTTATTCTATAAAAGTATAAATTATAGATTTAGAAATTTATAATCTAAAATAATTACAACGCCCTCCTAAGTGGTAGTTTATTCTTAGATGTCCTTATTCCCTTACTTGGAAAATTCTTTTGTACAGTACAGCTGTATGGATGCTGTAGTTGTAAACCACAGTACTAGTTGTTTTAGCCATTATAATATGCTTTTGATTAAATATTACTTTAAACCTTAGCACTTGCACGGTCCCTGGTCTCCATCGCTGATCTTTTAACTGCTTTTTTCTAAGAAGCCCATTGGCCTTGTACCATGTTGCTTCCTGTTCTTTTTCCTGTGAGCAGTCTAGAGAGAACATGTATCTGCCACTATGAGTCAACCTTCTGTTTAAGTGTGACTTTATACTCTGTACTCGTCATTTGTGAGCCTTATTATCCCTCTCTCACCAAACACGCACAAATCTTTTATGAATGGCTCTGAAAAACAAACTTGCTTCTTATTATTACCGTGAAAGTGTTTTTTATGAGTTTATTGCATGTAATCTTATTGACTTGAGATTAATTTATAATATACTCTCTTGTAGGATTTGAAACCTGGTAACCTGGCAGTAAATCAAGACTGTGAACTGAAGGTTTGTATTTGATCATCAGCTTGACATTGTGTAAACATAAAAGTGCTAAAGCAGGAAACATGAATACACCAGATTGCTTTTTAAATTATAAATGATGTAAGTAAGGTAGTAATGTGGACTTATGGTTGTGAGTGGTTTCACCCCACGTCTGTGTGTGTTGTCTGCTTGTTGTGGCCCCTGGTTTTAAAGAGCCTGTATTACATTATTTTCTGATCTATGTTATAATGTTGTTTCCTTATCACAAACTTACCTGGAGTTGTGTTTTGTTTATTTCACACATGTTCTACACACAAGCTGCATAATTAGGCTTCTCTCAAGCTGAAGACATTGTCTGTTTCACCTTTGTGATGATGTGACAATACAGGATGTGATCCACTGTGTTTTTAAACCTTCACTAGAATCATTTGGTGGATTTTACCTCTGTAAATTGCTAATCTCTACTAAACAAAAGGTAAAAGGTAACTGTTAACTTGAAAACTACAGACTTCAAAAATAGACAGGGTTACTCATATGTGAAGTAAACAAAACACAACTCACAGTTTAACACATTATAATATGGCTTAAAGCTCACAAGAGGCAATTTTAACAACCATTTAACCACACAAGCCTTCAAGCAGAATATGAAACCATACACTGCAACTTCACAACATGATGTTTTCATGAGTGGGATGCATACTGATTGTGTTGTGATAGCGCTCTGAAGGGGTAGTCAGAGGGGAGTCAGAGCATCAAAAACGAAACTAAAATGAATGAAATATTTTAAGATGTTGTTTTCAGAGACTATAGCATTTTCAGAGCTGTACAAGGTAACACAGTGATCTAAATATGCTATGACTTTGACAATTAATACCCCCTTTTAAAATATCATCTTACACTGTAGAAGATAAATGAAAGAGAGTAGCAGTGGTGACGATGAACATTCAAATGAATTTAATATGCCATTACTATCAGATGGACTTAAGGGCTGCATTTAGAGCAATCCTGTAATATGCTCATAAGAGGAATCATAAATATACTGAAATTCAGTAAAGGCTAAACCATGTTCTCCAGATCTCTATCACTTCTGTTATCCTCTTATAGTCTGTACTTCTTTATATTTTTCCTGTTCTTTTGTTAGATTTCTAGAAAATGTTTGATTCTCAAATCCCCAAATTCTCTGGTTATCATCATATTAAGTGTTAAAAGCTAAAATTACAACAAATGTACTATACATGCCTACAATCTACTATACTATGAACACTATAATTTAATATTGGGTGTAATAATCGGCATAATTTAAAATTAATAAAATATACACAATCAAAAATTGCTATTCTTTTGTAGTTTTAAGTTGTGTGTTTGTGATTTTGGTTCAGATCCTGGACTTTGGCCTGGCTCGCAGCGCTGATGCTGAGATGACCGGATATGTGGTTACCCGGTGGTACCGAGCGCCTGAGGTCATTCTGAACTGGATGCACTACACGCAAACTGGCAAGACAATCACAACTACATGTTCCCTTTTTCTTACTGTCATGTTCGCTTTTCAGGAACAGGGTTTTCATTGTTTTGGAATATTATAACTTGGATTTTAAATATTTGATATTATTTAAATCAACATATCTACTGGAATCTGTATTAAAGGTATCATATTACACATAATTGAATCTTGAGAGCTTTAAGTCATGCTATAATGCTGTTACCTCCTCAAAAGCATACTTGAGTTGTTTCATTCACACATGTTCGAGCAATCCTGGGTTATTAGAGGTTTACATCTCTAAAGCTGAACATGCTCAATTCATGTCAAGTGTTCAGCAGTTACATTTTACCTTTAGATCAATAGAGATTGATAATTCCAACAGTGAAATGATTGTATTGAAGGTGCATGGATTTTAAAAACATAGTGACGCACTTCTTGTATTACCACATGACATCACTAGGTGAAACATAGTGTTTTCTGTTTGAGAGAAGAACTCAGCCTAATGAATGAAATAAAATACATTTCCAAGTATGTTTTTGATGAGGAAACAACTTTAGAACATAGATCAAAAAATAGCATAATATAGGCACTAGCAATGTCAATTGTTTTCACTTATATTTCACTTATTATTGTTCAAAAACAAAACAGATTCCAAAGCTACTTATTTAAACAACAATTTGTATTTTTTTTAATTCTTAAAAAAATAAAAATAAATAAAATCTACAATCCAAGAAAATTCCAATATTTCCATTTCTGTGCCTTGTGGTGCTCTTGGCTGTTGGGTGGGATGTAAAATGACTGTGTCACTGTGTTAAATGCCTTCAGTTCGGTGGCTGTCAGTTTGACAATGAATGTATTTCACTTTATCTGTGAGCAGCTGTCAGGCGTGTAAGCTCAGACTGAGCCCTGACAATCAGAGCTTGAGCTGTCACTGAACACACACCATTTTCTCTAGATTTATGTTCTGTTGAAGGCCTCTTTCTTTCACTTTGGAAAACATGTACCACAGAGTTTAGAGCAGTGCAAAAACTAGGCCAATGGAAACATTCTATCAAATCTGGAAGCTATTAACCCACATGTAGTATTTGTTTGTTTTTCACCTCAATGTGTTTCTCGTTTGTTAACTCTGTGCCACCATCTGACTCATTTTACTTGTGCAAAATGGTCTTACATGGCTATACCTTAGGCCGGATTATTATTTTTTTACCTCACAGAACTCAAGATATTGCCGAGATAGATGAAGATTACTGCTAAATCATATGCAGTGAGCCAATTAGATAATTAGATGAGAGAAAGATGTGACTCAGGATATGTGGTGGCTCGGTCCGTCCTCATTTGTTAAACACAGAAACACAGTGATATTTCCTCTAGGTTCCACTCATGTTCTCTCTCTCTGTTTATTCTAGTGGACATCTGGTCAGTGGGCTGCATCATGGCTGAGATGATCAACGGGAAAACACTATTTAAAGGCAAAGATTGTATCCTTCTGAAGAACATTTACAGTTTTATATTTTATTTTTATTTTTTTTAAGAAATTGATTCTTTGGGAATTATATTGTCCAATATTGCTGTGTTCCATTTCTTCTTTTTGTGTGATCTAAATGTATCCCACTATCATTTGTAATTGTATTCAATTAATCCATTCTTCTTGCTGCAGTTAACACTAATAACAGGCCTTTAGCTGTCTTGATTGTTGCTATGCTTTCATATGAACAATTCCCTAAAGCGGCGTCACAATGGCCAATACAGTGGAAAGATTTTTGAGCCATTTTATTGTAATTTCAACGCTGATTAAGATGTTTTAAAAATCCTTAATGATAAACCACTAATTAGACATGGATCAGCTGACTCAAATCATGAAAGTAACTGGAGTCCCAGGACCAGAATTTATACAGAAGCTGGACACTCCCGAGGTAACCACAGTAGGCTGTATGTGTTTCATGATAGTCATGAAAATTGCACTTCATTGCTATTTACATTCATGCAATTCCTTTTAAAAACACAACAGGTATGAATATGCAAAGCATTGTAAAAGCTACAGAAGAAGACTCCATTGTCCCAGTGTGTACACACAGTGCAGCTAAACTATATAATTCTTCTGGGACTTTTGGTAGCCTTTAAAGTTGAATTATTATGTTTTGATTGTTGTTGTTTGTTTTCTGATTACAGGCCAGGAGTTATATGAAAAACCTTCCACCTTACCCTCGGAAAGACTTCTCTGTTTTATTCCCCAGAGTCAGTGATAAGTGTAAGTTACATTCAGGTCACATTTGTTTGCACGTTACTGCTAACAATAATTGTTCCTGAATTTCCAGTGGAACCAAAAACAATGTAGTAAACTAACCTAGTTCTATATTGTACTGATGGATGCAGGCTGGGATTTTACATCAATATGGCATCAACATATTTCCATATCCTGACACATAGTAACAGTGTCTGTCATAGTGCTATTTGCACTATAACATGTATTTTGAAATGTTCAAACTCAGAAAGATAAATTGATTATATAAACCCATGTGCAGGTGTTGACCTTCTTGAGAAGATGCTTGTCCTTGATGGAGATGAACGGCCCACAGCAGAACTGGCTTTGGAGCATCCGTACTTTGACAGTCTACGAGACCCAGATGACCTCCCTGAGCCTACACCATATGATGACACCCACGACAACGCTACAATGTCCCTGGAGGAGTGGAAGAGTAAGTGTTAAAGGGCTTGTATTACACTATTTATTCTGATCTAATGACACAAACATACCTGAAGTTGTGTTGTATTTCATTCACGTTTAACAAACAAACCCACCATATTTAGGCTGAGTTCTTCGCTTAAACAGAAAACACTTATACCTTGTGATGTGGTAATACAGGAAGTGCTCCAGTGTGTTTTTAAACTCCATACAATGTCATTAGAAGCATTTGGATCATTTCAGCCCTGGCATTGTCCATGTGTTAACTACTGCTTCATGACATCACATCAACAGAGCATTTTGAGCTTTGAAGATATAAACACACTAATAATAAAGTGTTACTCATATATTTGTGAATGAAATAAAACTCCAGATCTGTTTTGATGAGAATATAGGAATATACAAGTATTTTCCTTTATTCACTATATGAGAAAATGCTTATAGTAGTATAGTTTATCTTATTTACTAACCAATATTAGTGTGATGTAGGAACTCTGCAGAAGCCACTTTGTACCAACATTTTGTGGATAGGATGTTATGTGAATCTTTTTTAAATAAGTTGTCTACAAAAGAAAAACATTGTGTCTTAAAACTATACTTAAAATGGCTTCCTTTTGTTGAAATAGATATTATCTTGCTCATATTTATTGTCACTCTGTCCACAGGATTATGTTTTAAAGAGGTGAGGAGCTTTGTGCCTTTTCCACGGAGAGACTCCAAAAGGAAAAACACTCTCACTATGTCTCCATGACCTCATGATGTCAGATTACTACTGATGCCCAACCAATACAGACAACAGCCAATAGTGCCCTTGGAATTCTTAACAAACACTTAATTTTTTTTTGTTTTGTTTGTTTGCTTTTGTGATGAAACATGTCACCCATGTTTTTAACTACTACCCACTTCTATTATTTATATTTCTTTCAGAGTAGTCTCAGGATCCAATATGTCATAACATAATTAAAAACTAGAGGCTACTTGTCTACCATGCATTGTATGGTAATAGACAAGAGAATTAATGGGAATATTTTTGAAGACTTTTTTTTTAGTTTTCTGGTCACATGAATATTTTCTTCTAACTAAATTTTGCTTTCACTGGTTCTGTTCAGTGACAATTGACAAGCCTCAATGCAGTAGAGAATCTGAGCTTACTACATTTCAATTGTAAATACTTGAAATACTGTAGAAATACACTGTGACTCTATTATATGAATGTTGGAGTTATGTGCTGTTTTACAACCATCACCACTATCACTATTCTGACACAAACTGTAATATAGGCTATTAAGAAATAATCTATTATTTCATGTGTTAAGCGCTAATGTATTTTCTGTGAGCACTATGGGCCTATTGCTTGTGGCTAAACGTGAACATGAATTTTATCATGTGGTAATAGTGATATTGGTATTTTTTAAGGTAGTTATATTCCTGTATTTTATTTTGTTTGCAATTTGTTTACAATCTGTACCAAAAGTTTTATGTGTGAATCAGCCTGAATAAATCCCATTGGATATTTTTATTGTGAAAACTGATTTAGTTTGTTTGTTTTATTAGGCTACTACTGTTTTTTATTTTTTTTATTTGGCAACTGTCTGTTGTGACTGCATGTGAGAGAGAGCCGTAATAAATAAAAAGGCAAAACAGTGCAGTGGCCTGCGCGCGAAAATCGTGAGCTCGTGACGTCAAGGAGGCGGGTTGGAGTTTGGTTTGGCCTGGGGTTTGTTCACACCGTAAAGCTCGCGCACAGCAACATGCCCCAGAACGGAAATGTGTCAAAATAAAGTTAACAATGTAACAAGGAACAAACATCCATCCAACACAAGCTTCTTTCAGTACAAGCAAGCATGTGTGTGGGTATAAAGCAAAGCAAAACCTAGGCTTGCATGGCTGTAAATTAAAGCAAATCCTAGGCTCTTTACTGATTAGTGACGCTAATGAAAGTAAGTGAAAATGATCAAAACCATTACGCCTCAATAACTGTTTTCAATATTATTATTATTTCAAAATTACAGTTCTAATTAATATTATACTTTTCTTCATACTTCAGACAAATATATTCGATATTTTGTATTTGTCGTAACAAATCCTTAACACGTTATTTTATTTTGAAAGAACGGAACGGAAATCTTTTGTTTTTAGCATCGCCTGACGAATTAGCACCGCCGCTAGCCAGTTAGCCTAAGGAGGCTAACATTTCTCCTACTTGCAAAATTTAACCGACAACAACCGATTTTCTCTCACGATTCCACTGCACCATTATTACCTTCATTGGATTTTTTAAACGCACTATTAGCGGGCAAAATGTTCGGTGTGGGAACTAGGGGGTCGTAAAAAAAATGCGATATTTACCGGCTGTTCCAACAAACTGTGGTCTCTAACGGGGGCTGATAGCTGTGGCAGTGTAGCAAGTGTGAGGCGGCTGGCTAAAGGAACCATTACTGTTAAGGCTGCTTCTCCGGTCGTCGACAAGTCTGCATCAGCTTTAACAGGTGGGACTGGTCGTATAACCTTGTAACATATTAAGTGTAAAGTTTTTCTTCTGTAGTGGTTCGGTTTATTTGCCTGTCAACGCTTCTAAACAAATGAAATGACAGAACTGCCCGTCGCTCTAACTTAGCTGAGCGGCTAAGTAGCTCGAATCACCAGCAGCGTATTTCACTAAAATCCTGCTATGATTGTGCGCGGTTTTCTTTCTAGTAGTACTTGGTAAGTGATCGGCCAGGTTGTGGGTTGTTATGGTTGTTTTGTACATGAAAAAGTGGCTTTGGACAATGTTTAAAAACTGTAAATATGGCTGACATTTTACTCTCGAAATAAGGACACGGATCTGTAGGGCTTTGCTATTCTTGAAACTCATTGGCTGGAGTTTCAGTCAATCAATATATGGCGAATACTGATTGGATACGGCTTGTATGTTGTGGCCAGCCCTTGTTTTAGTTGCCAACAGAATGAGATAAAGTCGAGAGTTATCTACAAAGAATGCTTTTCTTTTGACGTTTGATGTTTTTACATAATCAGTTTCAGTCTAATATTCATTTTCTACCAAATGACTGCATCATAATAATTAGTTTTAGGTCTATGTAGAGTGAGTGTGACTACAATCAAGTGTGAAGGAATGTTTACACCACAGCACGAGCTCTATAATCATAGGCTTGCCATTTCCACAGTTGGAAACTTTAAACGAATTACTGAAAGATTTACCTGACGCTACTGAAATGACTTCCAAAATGAACATTAGTATTTTGTATAAATTTATATGACAATTAGGGGTGTGCAAAAATATCAAAATATTGATATATCGTATTGCTTAATGTGAGGATACAGTATTGATATTGTGGGATGGTGTATTTATATATCACTATTATTTTATTATATTTTTTTATTATTATTATTTATCGCTAGTATTTTTAAAAAATATATTTAACTCAATTATTTTGTTGCAGTGATTAAAATGTGTGTATTTCATATGAACTTTGCACAAGAAGTGATTTAACAAAGACTTTTAATATGACGGCCATGATTTAGCCTTTATTTTTTATTGAACCTTATCGTATCGATTTGAAATATATCGTATTGCGCTCTGTGTTGCATTTTTGTATGGAAAGCGCTCTAGAAATAAAGTTTGATTGATGATTGATTGTACTCAATCAAAAGTGCACTGGATCGAGATATGTATCATATTGTGGCCTATGTATTGAAGTATGTATCGTATTAGCATCTTCTTAATGATACCCAGCCCTAATGAAGATGGTGGTTATTTTGCAAATAAAGAATAGATTTTGTCTTAAAATTGGAATACATCTTTAATCATGTTCTTTGTATTTCCTGGCCAGGAGTATGAGTTGTACTCACAATAATACTACAAATTATAACGACAAATAATACTTGAAATATAAACTCTGTATCAATTATGCTAGGAGGTGGTACAAATAAATGAAATATTGCCAAATCTGAAATGTTCAGAAAAGATGGAGAAATGTTGGAGTTTGAGTAATATTTTTGCATTCAAAGTTGGCTAGGCAATAATATTTATTCAAAATATAAGCTTCTCAAAAGTTACAAGTCACAACATATTTCTGTTTCCTAAGAACCAGTTGCCATTGACTAATTTAAAGTTTACCTGAATGACTGAAAATTTTGTAAACACAACACAAGTTCTGAAAAGTTATGTTATTACCAATATTTTCATAGTATTTACTTTTGTTTCTTTTTGTGTTCTAACCAACAGAGAGACATTTGTGATTGGGGTCCTATGAGGAAGCCACGTCGAAAAGGCCAAGTGGGCGGAAGGGGAGGTGTACCGCATGGCAGGACGTCCACTGGAGGGATTGGCGGGCGTGGGGGGACTGGCGGGCGTGGGGGACTGGCGGGCGTGGGGGGGGCTCGCCAGCGGTCCCCGTCCCCTTACAGCCTCAAAGCCTCCCCCAGCAGAGAGACGCTTACCTACGCACAAGCACAGAAAGTGGTGGAGGTAGAACTGGAGGGCAGACTTCACCGCATCTCCATTTTAGAGCCATTAGAGGTCATCACAGAGGACGAGATGATGGCCCAGGACATAAGTGAGTGTAACAGCAACAAGGAGAACAATGAACAGCCAGTGACCCAAGCAACTGCTGCTCAAAATGCTCGCAAATCTTTAACGAGGAGGAGAAAAGACTCTAAAAACACCCCTGTTAAATCCCAGCCATCAAAGAACCACTGTCCACAGACACCTGAAAAACCTCACCATCATCACATGGCCCTCCCTGAGCCTAGATTTCGTGTCCGGCACACTTTCACTCCAGCAGCAGCTCCACCTCTTCCCACTGGGTACTACCGTTATATCGAACGCTCAGCTGAGGAACGGGAAACTGAAGCAGAGTATGACATGGACGAGGAAGACGCGGCCTGGCTGGAAATGGTAAATTCAGACAGGACTTCAGAAGGCTACACGTCTGTATCTCCGGACTCCTTTGAGCTGCTGATAGATCGACTGGAGGAGGAGGCTTACAGGGAAGCCCGGACCAGAGCACCCTCTCAGAGTGCAATAGACGACGATGCCTTTTGCTGTGTGTGCCTGGATGACGAATGCCTAAATAGTAACGTCATCCTGTTCTGTGATTCGTGTAACTTAGCTGTACATCAGGAATGCTATGGAGTGCCCTATATCCCTGAGGGGCAGTGGCTGTGCCGGTGCTGCCTCCAGTCGCCTCAAAAACCAGTAGACTGTGTGCTATGTCCAAACAGGGGCGGAGCGTTCAAACAAACCAGTGATGGGAGATGGGCTCATGTAGTTTGTGCCATTTGGATTCCTGAAGTCTGTTTTGCTAATACTGTGTTTTTGGAGCCGGTAGAAGGAGTAGCTAACATTCCCCCTGCACGGTGGAAACTCACCTGCTACTTGTGCAAGCAGAAAGGCAGGGGGGCGTCCATCCAATGCAATAAAGCCAACTGCTATACAGCGTTTCACGTCACATGTGCTCAGAGGGCCGGGCTCTTTATGAAGATTGACCCTGTGAGTGTGACCAATGTAAACGGGACAACGTACTCAGTGAAGAAGACTGCCTTCTGCGAAGTCCACTCTCCACAGGGTGATGTGACCTCTGATGATGAGACTGAAGGGAGAGTGGTGGGCAGTAGGGGCAGGGCCAGTAGGGGGCGCAGTGCATACAAGGAAGGGCCAGTGACACCAAAGAAAGGCCGCAAGTCAGAGGTCCTAGATAAGAGTGACAAGAAGAAAGGGAAGAAGAGCACAGAGTCAAAGGCACATCAGCCATCATCACCTCAAGTGACTGTTCCGCACATACCCACACAGAGGTAAGTTCAGGCCAGAAGATCTGCCCTGTTGTTCCCAAGACACAGTAAGATTAGATTGCTGCATGGCTAATTAATTACATTCATTCATCATTTGTAGCTAAACAAGTATCAAGACTTGGCACATGACACACCTTACACAATGTTTCTATAAACACTGTTCTGTGTGAGTTTGTTTTTCTAAAATACAGTTGATTTCATATAGCCTGCTGCAGCTTTTTATGTGTTTTTAAAAATGCATGTCTAATGATTTTTACATCCTGTGTATTTGGTTCCATTTCCACTACAGACTTAACAGTCTTTGTAAAGGAGTGATCTTCCAGAAGAAAAGTCAGTTCATGCAGAGGCTCCACAGTTACTGGTTACTGAAACGACAGTCGAGGAATGGCGTGCCGCTGGTCCGGCGCGTGCACTCGAGTCTGCAGTCTCAGAAGAACACTGAACAGGTCAGTCACCAACACAGTTTCTTACAGGAGTCTGAAAAGCTCTCTTCTAAAACCTTCTGTGTGCTTGTGTTGTAGCCCGAGGTGGATGAGAAGGTGTCAGCTGCCAGAGAAGCTCTGAGGTACTGGCAGAAGCTGCGGCACGACCTGGAGAAGGCTCGCCTGCTGGTGGAGCTCATCCGCAAGAGAGAGAAACTCAAGAGAGAACAGGTAGAGCATTTGTATAGTTTATCACTGTAATTTACTTTTTCACCTTTTTAAAATTATGAACAGTTAATAGCTTTTCTAGTTTTTCT